GTAATGTAATGCATGCATGCATGCATATACGTATGTCTATGTGCTTGTGCATGTACGTAAGTGTGTAAATACATATCATATCTACATATGCACATATACGTGTATACATGCATGTTGATACGAACGTGCAGACTCACATACACACATACTCACTTGCTCACATACTGTCCTGGATTTTCAACCCGATTGTGATTGTTGTTGCCTTACTTATCTCAGCGATTTGCCAGGTATTTGCTGCTGCTTCGCTTCCTCGCTCGAGATTATGCAGGCCGGAGTAGAATTCCGCAAATCAAGTCAGTGGTCGGGGATGCAGATGTCGCAGCCAGAGAAGGTTGTGCTTTCTCGACTGCATGCCGTCGTAGACTGTGAGCGCCTGCAACACTCATTACATCCGCAGCCAAGAGCCATAAGCCTTGTACATAGCAACACACACGCAGTCCGAGTCACCTCAAGCCCCACTAGACCCTGGCATCAAGGCGTCTGCTCTCTGGTGCACGCTGTCGGTACCGATGCAGAGCTGAACGACGAAGAGGCTCAAATACTTCAGGCCTGGCTGAGGGGGAGCCACGGTTTAGAGTTTTAGGGTTTAGGGTTTAGGGTTTAGGGTTCCTCATGGCTTGCGGAAGTCACTACAGGAAGCTTGATGCTGATAGAGTGAGGCGGAAAAAAGCGAGTGTTTCTTGCAAAGACTCAGAGGAGCGCGGCACACATCGGAATCTATATATATATATATATATATGTATGTATATATATATATATATATCTATATATATATAAAATACAATATAGAGAATATAGAATGCTATATACGTATCCATATAAAGTCAGTCAGGTCCTCGGCCTGGTGGAGGACTCGCACCCGGATGCCTTGGCCTGTCGCTGCCTGATTACCCTGGCGGTCATGCGCAGCCCGGCAGATGAATTCGTTTAGTATAGGGGCCTTAATAGTTACCTATACTATTTTAGGGGCTCCTTATCATCATTATAGTAATTATAGTATAAAATATCCCAAAACCCTAGTCTAATTATTAAGGCTTCTATATTATATTCAATACACGATACTGAGTAGAGAAGATGTTAGGAAGAAGCCAGGCTAGATAATATATGGTATAATCCCTCAGCCCTAAATTAGGCCCTAAACCCTAAACCCTAAACCGTCCCTAAACCCTGAATCCTATACCCTAAAAACCGCAGAAGGCCGGTTATGGCAAGGGACAGCCTTAGGGCAGATCTGCTCGGAAAAGCCCCGAGGCAGTGGCGTTTCTCTCCCCTGGGACTTTCGAGCAGTCTTCGCATGGTATGTGTCGCTTGGATGAATGGGGAACCCTAGCCCTAATAGGGATCAGGGTTTAGGGTTTAGGGTTTAGGGATTAGGGCTTTTTGATAGAAGAGCCTGGACACCGACACATTCCTTGGACATGTTGCTCTCTTCGGGGTTTGGCAGGTTTTGCAAAAGAATGTCGCTGCTTTTGACATCTATGCTCCAAATCCAAGAAAGGAGGCGACGGTCTGGATACTCCCCAAGCAGAGCGGCGTAGCACTCTGAAGGTACGAGTCCGAAACCTCGGCTGGCCCGGGTCATTGTGTAGGATTGTCCGTGTTCTGCGGGAAGATGTTTCTGTAGGTTGGGCTAGCGCCACAACTGGAATGCTTCCTGGTTGTCTTTCAATAGTTCTCACTCATGCAGTCTGGAAAGACCTTATCAGATTCATCGCTTGAATCCATGGAATCCTTAGAGTTATACCACTAGACTACAGGGCAAAGCGCTCAATACTTTCAAACCTGCAGCGTGGGGTACTTTCGCTCCGCCACGAGCTGGTGAGGTTGAAGATCTCACACATCTCTGCACGCAGCCGCTTGAGCTACTGGTCTGCAGCTTTGGTTTCGGGGTCAGGGTCAGGGGCTGGTTCAGATTTCGCGAACGACCCCCCTCAACAGCTTAAGATCGAAGTGGTGGTCTTCGTGCCTGTTTTCCTTGCTCGCGCGGTTGAGGTTTCAAAGGCTACAGCCAGATACCCTATGCTTGAATGCATGCCTTCGTGGTGCTTGATGGCATGTCTTCCTGGGCCTCAGGACCAACTGTTTTTTACATTGGGTCCCTTTGGGACATGCAATGTCGAGAAAACTCGTCCTGCGAGGAAATCCACAAAAAACAGATCTACAGGTATCAGCTGTGCTGAGATGATCAGAACTAGTAACTAGTACTACTCTAGATGCTCCGTCCTCAACGCTCTACTGTGGTATGAATCTTGTTGCCAGCCGAATTTCACAGGAAAGAAGCCCTATGACATTTCTACCAGCGTATCATGAAGAGTCGTATACGGGAAGATGCTTATACTCTCCGGGCCAATCGGCAGTATCAGTGTCTCCTTAGCAGTGCTAGTCACAATACCCGTTTACCTGGGACTTTTTAGAATGCAAACAGCTTCAACATGCCCGCCTTGTTACTGTCACTTGCTGGGAGGCCTGGAGCAAGAGGCTGAAATGTTGGACGAGTGTGAGCGTCTGACCTCCAAGTTCAAAGTGGTTGAGGCCTGAGCTATGATGTTACTTGGGTTTCAGGACCCGGGCACTGGTGGGCTTCGGGTCTGGGTCATGTGATGAAGGGCTTCAGCGCCCTCGGTAAAGCTTCGTCCAGCTTGGGCGAGTGTTCATCTTCGGGGTGTTTCCTTTGAGAGAGCTGGCTTGGGTGGAGTCTCTCATGAGTATGACTGTTCATACACTGGGCATCAGCAGTAATTACTATTTACCGTCAACTCCTGGAGCCTGCCGGGACCTCGAAAGTCCGATGGACTGTGCAGACTACAGGAACTACTGCAACGAGGGAAGCTTGCAAGCTTTGAGATGTGTGGGGCAGCTCAAACCGAAGCTTCTTGAATCTAAGTTTCTTGTTTGATGATTTGTTTTGCAGCTGCTGGGTTGGAAGTCCCCGGTTGACGATTACGAGTTCTTGCACCTGTGCATGTGGCCATGCTTATAACCGTATCCTGCTGAACTTTCCTGGTTCACACCTCTACTCGTGTTGAGTCCCCTGAGCCTCCAGAACCCCAATCCCTAAAACGCTGGAAGGCGCAGACAAAAGATCTGAAAGGCAGAGACGGACATAGCCGCTGGGACTGCGCATCGACTCCTGCAAGCAATCGTGCTGCGTCTCACTTTCTCCTGCTGCTCCGTATTCGTACTACCTCGCCTCCAAGCCCCGACGTTGTTTATTATAGTATATTAGATATTGTAGTATACTATCGTATATCACTAAATACATGCTTGCTACATCCAGTCTTACGAACTGGTGACCAGCACCAGCACCAGCCCCAGCGCCAGCGCCACCGGCACCACTACCACTGCCATACTTCTACAACCTCGGCAGCCACCAGCACCACCAGCACTACCACCGCTGGCATCGCCAACACCACTGTCCCAAACACTGTCACCATCGTCACGGTGGCCGTCTTCATCCTCATCATTAATTTCAGCATGGTTAGTTCTGTTAGTTATCATGATCATGATCTTTTTCACCGCCTCCCCCTCCTCCTCCTGGTACTCCCCCTGGTCGACGAAGGGTCACCATCATCGCCAGCTTCGTCATCCTTCAAAGCATCTTCAAGATCGTCATGATCACGGCAAGAGCCAGAACCTAAACCCTAAACCCGAAACCCCTAAACCCTAAACCCCTAAACCCTAAGCCCTAAACTGTGTGCGTTTCCTTCCGCAGTCACCGAGGTCTCTTGGAGCTTCTCTTAGACCCCGAGAAGGCCAAGGCAGCGTCTGCCAGCCACTCTGCTCGGAATCGGCTGGCTCGGTTTTGAGCGGCAGAGCTCTGAGAGCTCGCAGGGTTACCTCTGACTGATAGGTCACATTATATTCGAGTTGCACAATCCGGAACTGACCAGTAGGCCCGGAAGGCATCGACCGTTTATCTTGTATCCGATCCCACGGACTGCAATGTAGTGATGTATGCACAGCCGGAGGAATGATCACTTCCTGCGCACCGACGGACTCATACGAAGAGAAAGACAAATAAGAGACGTCACCATGCAACTGACACGTCGACGACGAAAAGATAATTTGCATGCAAGTTCTTCTCGACTGCTGCGGTCGAATAGTTAAACTATTTTGGTGGTGCCTTATAGCAATCAGTTATGGCATAGTATACCCCCAAAACATCCCAAAACCCGATTCTAGTTATTAAGGCCTCTACATTAGTCTTGACAGCCGGGACAGCGTGAAGTGCGACCCGGTGGTTCGAAGCCAACATTGAAGTGCTCGGCGCGCACCACTGAGGTCAGATGCAGAAGCTCCAGGCCAAAGCCGGGATGGTTATTTGACATTCATAAAGTGGCTTTTGGCTTTCATGGGGGCCCTGAATCTCATTATGCTCTTGGCCCGTCCGGAATGCTAGTGGTCAGCATATCCATGTTGATGACGTTTTCGGAAGGATCATGGATGAAGCTGTTGACGCTAAAGAATACACCCATCAAGCAAGCATGAGAAGCAGCACAGAGATAGAGGAAACCGTGATGCTGATGGTAGCAGTCCTCAAAAAGCGGCCTCCTGTGCGAGCCCATAGGTACACAGCCCCCGGAAGACATTTGTCATTATCACCTTCTGATCGGGCACTGCAACTAAACTTTTCTGCCTTCAAAGAAGCAGAGGTCGGAGGCGCCAAGGTGGAACTCTAAGCTCTTGAGACAGGAATCCCGAATCTGTAAACCTCCACCTTGAGCAGGACATCAAAACCAACGTCTTCAGCGGTATGCGCGCAGAAGGGCTGAGCTGCCGGGAGGAGGTTGGACACGTCGGGTCTGGTTCCCGCACTTCGCCACCTATAATACGCTCCTACAAGTAGCTGGGCTTGGTGCTTAGTGCCCAGGAGTTTTTGTTTGGTTTCAATGTCAGGTTTAGGATGCCTATCGCGCCTGCTTCTGCTTGTTCATCGTTTCGTTCTTGAGTTCAGTTTAGTGCTACTTTCACGCATCTAGCAGCTTACTGGGGATGGTTTTGGGTGGCCGGCTCACCCAAAAGCAGACAAAGTACATGATCGAAGAAGCAAGGGGGGTTCGGAAACTTGCCGTATGGCTCCCGTAGAACGCATGCATAGCTAGGATAGAGGTGAGTTGCTCCGTGTCCCACTCCGTCACACCCCGCCATCCTTAGGCCTTAGATCCACCCGAAGTGGAAATCCAGACCTGGTTCCCTGAATGATAAAATCGCAAAAGCTAGGATTTAGGATCTAGGCTGTAAGGTTTAGGGCAGTTTCGGGTGTATAAATGCTACAGCTGAACTGTCTTTGCAGGAGATGAAGCATCTCGTGCTCTTGGTCATGCGCAGAGAGCATCAGCAACTTAGCTCAGGAATCCCTAATCCCTAAATAACCCTAAACCCTAAAACCCTAAACCCTAAACCCTTGATAGCGCTAAGCGAGGCTAGGGCTCTTCAAAGGGCCGCAGCTTCGGCCTACCAACCAAGTCGTCCAAAGCCATCTCTGTCCACCCCCACCCCACCCCACCCTGAGCTGCCTAAACCCTAAACCCTAAACCCTAAACCCTAAACCCTAAAACCCTAAACCCTAAACACTAAGTCCAAGCCACCGAGGCTTGACGACTGGATGAAGCAGACCCTGGAGAATCGTCAGGAGCAAAACCAGTGCCAGAGCCACCGAGACCTGCTTCCTTAAGTGCAGACCTCCCACATATGGTGTAGTTTGTGTAGTGTATGAGTCTGATCTCATATGCGAGATATGGTACGCCTCAACTACTATGTATGTCTGTGTAGAAAAACACACACCTGTGTGATGCATGTCATTCACACACAAACCTGCCTGCCTGCCTACCCACCTACCTACCTCCCTCCCTCCCTACCTACCTACCTAGCTGTCTACTCTGTCTACCTACCTTAGCTGTTTGTAGCAGCAGCCTTCAGCCCGCGAAGCCGCCAGGAGTTGCTCAAGGCTCGAGGCTACAGCGTGGCCTCTCTCAAGGCCATGGCCACTCTGAGTCGGAACTGTAGGGGTCGCCTCTGTCAGAATACGGTTTTCCTCCATTCCGAGGTTCAGAGTTTGCTTGTTATGCGCTCAGCGCTGAACGGCATCCTGCCCTATGTAGGGGGATGATCTTTGATGAGCCGCCAGGATGACAAGAAGGCTGACAAGAAGGGCAAAAAGGCACAGCTGAGTGGTCTACTGACTAGCCTGCTCCGGCACAGGGCCATCTAGAGTAGAAGCACGGATGATGACGACTGCTGCAACTATTCTCGAACCAGTGCTGCTGTTGCCAGTCTTGGCTGTCGTCTTCGTAGTAGCACTAGCATGTAGTAGTAGTAGCAGTAGTAGTAGTAGTAGTAGTACTAGTAGTCGCTGTCCAACATCAGCCGTAGCCGTGAGGGCATGAGAGCTTGTCCGCACTGAGGTCCTCGACCAGCTTCTGTCTTAACACGCGATGTCGACTCGCGAACCGGATAGCCACAGAACGCAGATCTGCAAACTTGGCGTTTGTAACAGGACAAGAAGGACGAGCCGGAGGAGAAGAAGGAAGTGAAGGAAGTAACCCTCAAGCTTCCGAAGCCCAAGGATGATGCACGAGCGAAGTGGTGCCTAGGCCACCGGATCGTTGCCGGATTGTCGCAGTGGCTTCATGTCTTTTTCAACTTGCTTGTGCTATGTCACCGAGAATCGCGATGATGCTGCCGGTTGACCACGATTATCTTGATCAGGAGGAGGAGACGAAGTATGAATACGATGGCAACAATGACGATGGCGGTGGTGGTGCTGATGATGATGATGGTTTCAATGACGATGATGATGATCATGACGACAGTGATGGTGATGACGATGATGGTGGTATTGAAGAAAAATTCCATGATGATGCTGATTTGGATGAGGCTTGTGCCAGGCTGCTCAGAATTTGTTTGACAGATGAAGCAACTAAGTCTTCCGTCCCTTCATCCTGTTCTCCATTGTCATCCCAGGATCACTCACTGCAATCGAAACGTCCTCAAAGACTCCATGGTGAGCTCTGCTGATTTGGAGGAGAGGGTAAGGTGGCATGTGCAGATTCTAGCTGATGTGCTCAGAGAGCATGCTTGTGCTAAATTGCTGTTTGGTGCCCTAGCCCCAACATTACAGACGCCGACTGCAAATCACACATTCAGGAGGAAAGCATCAAGACCTTCGCAATGCGGCCTGCGCTGGAGTGGGCACTACTCAAGCTGCACGATACTGACACGAGCCTGGTGGCTGGGCTCTGATCATGATTCGAATACCACATTAGACTTCCTGCTTCATTGCCTGAGCCCCGAGCAGTTGTTCCGCTCTTGCTACTGGTGTCTGTGATCTCCTATGCCTACTTCATTGAAAAGCTCCACGCATCAAATACGCTTCAGGACAGCATGTTTGTGCTCCTCTATCGGCTCTACACAGGCCGGGATGCACAGTACTGCAAGAAGCACAAGGAAGTCGTCACGAAGCTGTGTTCCCTTCATGTTATAGTTGCTAAGCTCAAGTCT